AAGAGCGAGGAGGAAGAGGCAGAGAAAGAGAGAGAAGGAAACCACTGAAATAAGATAGTTCCTTTGTTTTCAAAGGACCTCCTACAGATCCGGAGACCTTTCACTAAGAGTATTTCAACAGTTACAAGGACATATATATATATTATATATATATATGGACAAATGTTTGACTGGATATGATATGACATTTTAATGTTACTATAAGCTTGTTATTTTTTAAGTTTAGCATTGTTAACATAAAATGACTGAAAGGATGTATATATATCGAAATGTCAAATTAATTTTATAAAAGCAGTTGTTAGTAATATCACAACAGTGTTTTTAAAAGGTTAGGCTTTAAAATAAAGCATGTTACACAGAAGCGATTAGAATTTTTTCGCTTGCGAGCAAGGGAATGTATATACTAAATGCGACACTGTATGTTTCTAACATATAATTATTAAAAAAAAATGTGTGAATATCAGTTTTAGAATAGTACCTCTGGTGGATGCAATGATGTTTCTGATACCGCAATGTAAAACATGCCCTGTGTATAACATTTCGTACAATATTATTGTTTTACTTTTCAGCAAACATGAAAAAAAAATGTGTTTTATTTCATGGGAGTAAAATATACAGCATACAGTTTTGTCTGGATTTTTATTTAATGAGCCCAAGTGCGCAGTGGTAACGAGTCTGCAGAGACTGTCTGATAGACGAGCCTAGATCACGTTAGCTGGAAACACAGGGCAGGACTTTTTATTGCAATAAAAATACATGCCACTATTTTTCACGTAAAGAAATCCCTCACACTAAAGTTACATGCTAATTTAACGCGGGACTTGGAAATCCTGCCGCTGTGTTTTTGCAAAATAGACGAGATTCTAGTATTCCCCTGCACAGCTCCGAGAAAAATGGATTATTTGACATTATTGGCCCCAAGAATGACGAGCCAAAATTTCTCCCGCTGTGAAGGAAGTTTTTATTACATTAAAGAAAAACGGGAAAAAAAGCAGTTTGCAAACAAACCTCTCCAATTCAAAATAATCCATCCCCTTGGCCGTCCCCTGCAACCACCTTTTCCCAAAGCAGGGAGCTCCTTCATGCACTATTACATTTCTATTTCTAAATCCCCCATCAGCCATTAGCAGAAACAAAGAGCAGCCCAAATAAGCGCAAGCCCTCGGAGCGCCGAGGTTGAGAGGTTAGCCCCAAGTTTCCTGGCGCGCCGTGCTGCGACACGCAGTTGAAGGGAAAGGTCGTGCTCTCGCGTGTTTTGTTTTAAATAATATTGACCCATTAATTCTAAACCTGCTTGTTCGTGAAATTATCCAGGATTATGGCTCGCGCTGCCGGCACGATGGAGCAAATCAAGATGAATTGCCGCTCGGCCCTCCCATCGGGTGGCATCGGGGGCGCGGGGCCGCGGCACAAAGCGCAGCGCGGGATGCGCGCGGGC